CTTACGAGGAAATGTTTTCCACGGCTTTACGAGGAAAACTTTCCTCGTAAATTAGCTAGGCCTTTACGAGGAAAATAGCCTTTACGATGAACGTCTTTCGACGAAACACGTTTCCTCGCTATTTCCTAGTAAAGGGCCCTTTACTAGGAAATAACGAGGAAAACCCGTCCTAGTAAAGGACGTGTTTTCTTGTAGTGTTATATATAATAGAGTTTTCTCACTCCTGTTTGTGCCATGTCACTAATTAAAGAAAGGAGAGAGAGACACGTGTCAAGTCAAAACATTGAGTTTTGTTGTTTTTGTTTACGGATTATATGTGGACTTCACTGTTTTGGGCATTTTAACCGGACCCGAAGACCCGAACCGGAACCGACTCGAAAATACCTGACCCGAACCTGACCCGAAAATTTACAAGTATCTACTGGGTCTAAATTTCTTTTAGCTGAATAGACCCGGACCCGAAGAGAACCGACCCGAATAGACCTGACCTGATAAGAACCGATTTGTACCCGACTTATAAACATGTATATCCGAAACTATTATTTTTGTGTTATGTTTTATATATCTATACTGTTTTATATATCTATACTGTTTTATAATTTAGTTGAAATATATTTTGTTAACAATATTTATTATTATTTGTAACATTTTTTAAGTAATATAAGTTTTAAAATGTAAAATTTAGAGTTTAAAAAGTTTTCTTTAATTATTAATAGTTTAATTTAAGTTATTTTATAAAATTTTCGATATATATGAAAAATATTGACTGAATTTGAGTGGTTTTGGTCATGTTATGTATTTTTTAGATTCTAAATATATGGACCCGATATGGATCCGTAAATTACTGATATTTTACAGGTATTGGAATTATAGATCTGAACCGACCCGGACCCGGTAAGACCCGACCCGAAATCGACCTGAAAAATCATAGATACCCGTATGAGTCTAAATTTCCAAAACCCGAAAGATCCGGACCCGACAGGACCCGACCCGAAGATCCGGACCCGACAGGACCCGACCCGAAGATCCGGATGCCCAGGCTTAGTTAAAATCCTGGGTCTTCATGTTATTTATTTGGGTTGTTAAGAAAACTATAACTGAGCCCAACTATCACTCTCATCTTCTTCAAAAATGAGGCCCATTCAATATGTAGGGTCTATTGTGTTCTTCGACCTCTCAATCAACTCTTAGAGCATCCGCAACGGGAGTCCTTAGGGGGGAGTCCTTAGAGAAAAAATAATTAAATAATCGATAGACCCCACAAAAAGTTAAGGATTCGATCCTTAAAATTCCTAAATAAGGATTGTTTCTTAGCGAATCCTTACACTATTTGCGGGTCTCCAGAACATGTGGCAGCCCACGAATGGTCATTTTTTTTCTTTTTTTTTAAAAAAAAAAATCCAAAATATCCCTACCAAATCCGAAATACCGACTTTCTTAAAGACTCTTATGACTCTCAAGGTTGAGGATGCTCTTACAATGGAATTTCAGCAGAGTAAATTGAGACGATTTGTGAAAACGATACCTTGGTTCGAGAAGTCTTGGTGTCGTTTTGCCTCAGTTCCTTCTTCCTGGAGCCGTAATTGATGCATTGATTTTTAACCATTAATGATCTTCTTAAATCCTTCAACCTATTACTAACATGATTCCTAATTCAATGTATCTTCCCTTTCCAGTCGGTGCAGCTCCAGTTATATAAAAGCCAACATTAAACTCAGTATTATCAGACATTTTTCTTTTCCAGGAACCTTGATAATCGCCTTTTTCCTTTGTTGCCTTCACCGTCAATCACCGTGAAATATACTGAGATTCTAATTTCTCCATTAACGCCCTTCGACAAGCTTCCGTATACTGTGAATAATTTAACCTTTTTGGGTGACCCTGAAATCGCGAAAGTCACTGAGAAGTTGATTAAGGAATTTACCATACCCCCTCAAGAAAATCATCGAAAGGTTTAAGCCTTTTCATCGTTTGAATCGATTTTCGATTTATTGGATCAATTTATGAAATCAGTTTCATCTTCTCCAGTTTATTCTTGAATTCTGTTTCTACAAAGCTTGAAAAGACATTAATTTTTTTAGGTTTACATTTGTTTGGGTAAATTTCTAATTTGGTTGATGTGGTGTTAGACTGGAGCTGTAATCTGTTTTTTTTTTTTTTAACATTCTGGCAGTTACAGATAAATCTATTACCAAGATGACTCAAATTTTAAATAGTTAATCCATCTTTGCAGGTCTTGAACCAAGAAGAATTCAAGAAAATCAACAGGAGCGATCAGTGTTTGAAAAAAATTTACACAAACAGTTAAGTAATCTATCCTTATCAAAATCTCTAACGCTTTTTGCAACTCACTTTTAAAGTTAAAATCCAGAAACATCAAAATCTAATCAAGCTGTTGAATCCATTTGTTAGTTACACATCTGAAAATTCAAGGTTTGTGATGAAATATTAAAACCTTACAAAGTTTTTAAGAAATACATATAATTGGATTGGCCTTTTTACCTTTTAACTGTTTTCTTTTTGCTTTGCTATTGTTAATATCATTAAACTGAAACAAGATTTATACCAAGATAACCTAATTTTAGTGTCACCTAAAGAGCTTTCGATTCTTCCTTGCATAGATAGTGTTCTTGATCTCACGATCAGTAGTGTGAAAAATAGTTTCAGTGGTAAGTGAGGTGTTGTTGTAAAGAACATTGCTGCGCTGTTTCGAGAATGAAACACGACAGCATGAGTTACCATTTTTCCGAAGAGGAGCCGGTGCTTCCATCCCATAATAGCAGCAGAAGAGAAACAATATTGCGGTGGAACTGTTGGCTTCAATACTTTTGATCCATGCAAGCAGTTCTGACCAATGAATAAATGTTTGCAATGATCCGTTAGAAAGCAAAGGTATGGCTTTGTTAAGGTTATAGGAAGCAAAGGTATTTGAAGCTCCAGATCATGATTTTTTGTCTAGACTTATTAATAATACTGTTTGTATACTTTTTTATGACAGAGCCAAATCTGCTTAAATATAAACCAAATATCTGAAAGTTTTTGCAACGTTTAACGTTGAAATTTACAAAGACAACACTCAGCTTCTGGCTCTAGAGAATTTCATGTAGATTTGCAGCACCAGCTATGTCCAAATCTGAGCTTAATCCTAAGTTCAACATATAAACAATATTGACAAAATTAGTCATCTCCTCTTCTTTGATGTATGCTACCAAAGTTTTATTAAATTTTTTAACTTACTTGAGTACTGAAATAGCTTTCTGTTTCAGGTTGTACAAAATCTTCAACATTCTTGAGATCAGAACTAGGAGATTAGAAAAGCCAATGATAGTGCATGACGAAGATGGAAACTCTGACTACTTTGTAAGATAATAGATAAGTAGACATATCCTCCTTAACTTATTTTATTCCACTTAGGTTGTTCACCAGTGTAATGTTTGAGAGTTTTTAAGAAATATGGAGAATGCATGCTTTGTCATTAGTACATTATATACATGTGGGATTGCTCATATATTGAAATCATGACCTTTTAAAGGTTGTTATCAGAATGACATTGCTAGCTTTATTAGAAACTCAGGTTGGATGTGATGTTGACTTAAGTGAGTCTTTTGTATTCTCAAGATTTTTAATCTGGGCAGCTGAAGCACTATAAGTACAAGTTGACACATTTATAGTTAGTTACCCGGTTGTGAAGTGTGTTTGAACCAGGTTAAAGTTGGGTGTGGTGCAGAAGACGGGAAGCAACTTTTCTTAATACTGATATAAAAGCAAATATTGTTGTGTCAAGTATGGCTCAAACAAGTTTATTGTATCTCACATTGAACTATCCAATCATGAACTTATTATGTAATGTTTGATTTTACTATCCCGTCCGTAGGACGGACCAATCCTAGTTTATCATATTTTAGGGGGAAAAAGTAGTAATGGGGGAAGGAAAGAGAAGAGAGAAATAGGGTATGTAATTAAATAAGAGAAACCAATTAAAATTTTACTGATCTTGATCACAATATAGTTAAAACCCACAACGAGGTTAATTAATGCGTCGAATAATAAAAAAGAACCCTTATAAAAACTTATCAAATAATAAAAGATAACCATAATCAGATAGTTGGACCCTTATGGTAGAGACAGACAAAGCCAATTCTCAATGAGAACACACTACACACAAAAAGATGTAATGCTTTTGACATATAGTGTTTGTGTTCTGTTATGCTACAAGACAGGTCTCAAACCATTAAAATTCTTGTGTGAGATACTAAAATTTCTTTATGAATGTTTTTGACTCCTATATAATGTGAGATCTATTCTTTCATATTTATAATAATTTACTCACCCGAAAAGCAAGAGAAGGAAACGTAGGCGCTTCGACGATCGAAATGAGAAGTGCATCTTCCTCATTGCCAAGAAACTGGACGCGAACTTGAACCACAAACTGTGGAATGAACATCGTATCTTGGTTCAACACCTCAAAGTAAGCCTTTTGCCTCACCGTCCATTGGCTCGACCCGTACGGATCCTTCCACCCCAAGTAATCCCAATAATCAACGTGAAAAAAGAGAACCATCGCAGGAGAACCAGCCCCACCTTCGCGACGGATCTGACCGTCGAAATCTCCACGTCCGAGGCGTGAAACGAGCATCTCCGCCTCCAGAGAAGTCTTACATCCCTGAGATGAGAAGAGTTGAACGAGAACAGGCAGAGCCGGTCCTAGATTATATAAGACCAGAAGCAAAAATTAAAAAAAATGGCCACTTTTCAAAAAAAAAATAAACAAAAAATGAACAAGGTGATATTTGAACTCTGGTTAAGGGTGACAAGTCTATTTTCTTCAAACCACGCCACTAGACTATCTAAATATTTTGGTTATTTGTGGCCGGATTTTTGTAATAACATTGTCGGCCGCAAGCAGTTGCTTCTATTGTTTGGCACAAGGGTCGGCACTGAGAACAGGTCCGTCACCAGCGGGAACATTGGCAGCTACAACGGCAGCGTTATGACCGGTGATTCTTTTTCCGGCGGTGGAAGTTGAGGATCCTTTGACGCGAAAACAGGCGAAAAGACGCGGCACCATTGGAGAAAAAAACCAAAGAAAATTTCCGGTCGTCTCTTTGCCTTCCGATTAAAACCGGAAGATGTTTTCTTGGAGCGTCCAAAAACACAACGGAGGAGGGAGAAATAAATCAGAAGATTAGAAATGTTTCCCCAAGAAATGCAAGAATTTTCAGAGGCATTGAATTATTGGAGGAGGGCCGGAGAAACAATTATCACAGGCTAGGGGTGAAGGGAGAAAGGCGGCAACAAGTATCTTTACCTCATTTTTTCTATAATTTGTTTTTTTTCAGTAAATAAATCTTTTAGGTTTTTATGGTGACAGAAGCTGTAGTTGTGAAGTTTATCGTCCTTAAGGATTAGTCTATTGCTCTGAAAGCAAGCAGATGTTGGTGACACGTTTGCACATGAGTCCTGATAGGTCAGCGAATCTTACAGCTAATTCCCTTTTATCAGAGAGCCGAACCGATTTGTCTGAATTTCGGTACAGTCTATACAATTGAACCGGCGATTCTACGAAACAAAATTCTTGAGATCTAAGCTATTAACGTTTTGTAATAGCCTACTTGATAGGTAGGATTCAGCCCATATATCAACAAAATCCCTATATTAAAACCTTAGAAAGAGGTTGAAATAATCTAATGAAATTTCACTTTATTAACAAAGTAATAAACTGAGATTTATAAGTAATCAGAAGTCAGGTTAAAAATCAGAACATCTAGATTACATTTGGAGTATATTCCCTTTTCAATAGGAAGAGACTATCCTTCAACTCCATCATTTTCTTGGAAACAAGAATTGGTCTTTCTTCCAATTTCTTGGGTTTGTTTTAGGTTATGATTGTTAAGTGATAATGATCTTTAAACTAAAGAAAGTAACCTAGTTTCCACTACTAAACCTACTTCGTTGGACTCCCATGCATTTACATTTTCTAAGAACAATATTTACATATTTTATACTATGCAACTAAAGGACAAAAAGGTAATATAAGTACTTTTAATTTAATTAGTAGAACTTAATCAGTGCCTCGGAACTAAGAGCATCTCCAACCCCACTCCAAAACCCACTCCAAACTCCATTTTGCAGTAAAATCTTCTCCAACCCTACTCCAAAACTCACTCCAAAATGGAGTAACAAACATGATTACTCCAAATATGGAGTAAACCAACTCATTACTCCAAAATGGAGTTGAACTTTTTTATTTATCAAATAGTCCTCCACATTTATATATATTTCATTTTTAATAAAATATTATTATAAATAAGTACTATATATATTATAAAATTTACTGTTATATTTCTTAATTATATAAATAGCCTCATTTTTAATAAAATATTATTATAGATAAGTATATTAATATTATTTTACTATATATTAGAAAATTTACTGTTAATATTTCTTAATTATATAAATAGCCTCGTCTTTAATAAA